GGGGGCATACTTTGAGACGTGACCGTCGCGCAGAAGGACTGTGTTGATTTGTGACCGTAAATCTGGATCCAGAGTCGCCTGTGTGTGGTTTGCGGCGCTGGAGGGCACCTTGACGGGGGTAGAGGGTGTGTTGCTGGACATGATGGCGATGCAGGTCGAGGATGATCTAGTTTGGTCGCTCTGAGAGACAGCGTAGACGGGAGAAGACGTAGAGTGTTGATCTGGGGGGACTCTTGGCCAATCGAAGTAGTTTCGCCCTCGATACCAAACCAAATATCGTGTATCAGACACAGCGAGTGCTTTCGATCGGTCGCTCCGAAGCTTGAATATTGCCCGTTGGGTCAGGAGTATCGCTTAGTTAGATAACAATTGAGCTAGAACAATACGATTAGCGTCGGTCTCCGACCTGAGCAAAGGGCCAAAATAGAGCTCTTACCCACCCACAATGTATCGCTAGAGGCCAACTCAATGACACAGAAGATAGAGGTTAGTTAATCGTCAGAATGTAGTAGCAAGGCTGAGGCTGGTGATGAAAGCTTCAGGGCACACAAGGCTGAAGTGCGTTTGTGTCTGATTGGGCGCAAGACCCCACTCTGGCTGTGGCGGTGCTCCATAGAGAAACTTATTGTCCTCTTATCGACCAATCCCAATATTGGAAGAATAAACAACACAATATCATCTAATTAGAACCAGCACTTACACGCTCTGGACGACAATGAGACAAACATGCAGCAAGTTATCTCTTCCAGTTGAATAGAAGCTCCAGTAGAGCACAATGGCGCTTGTTTCCCCAAATCCGTTGGCATTTCTCGTTGTATGTTCCAATCCCTGGTCAAGATCTCTTCGCTTGCTGAGTGGCTTGTTTACGATTTTGACCCCCCTACCTAGTTCATTGATTTACACCACGCACTAGATATCACCAAAGGAATTTAGTCAATCCCATCAAACTCATCTTGTGGGCTACGTTCGGTCTGAAAAGAGATTGAAATCTCATGGCACTCCTTAGTACACGAGAATTTGTGATATCTCACTGTGGACTTGAAATTTCCATCAACTCAACACATTCAGTCATATCTGAATGCTATTGTCAATAACGATTGGAAGTACTGTTCCTACCGAAGATAATACAACGGCTTAAGACATAGATTCTATCTATCATGTCTATTCACCATCTCGAAACAGCATTACAGCAAGGGATGTTTAAGCGAAACTCAAGTCTTATGACAACTTCATGCAACAAGCAGAGTCGTTGAACCATAAAGATTTAAGGTTAACGAAAAGAGCATGAGAAAGGTCTGTACTACAACATTCTAGGCCAGGTGAATGTGACTCTATGGGGCAATTGCGTTTTTTGACGTTAGATGTGAGGACTTGATCAGTTTCTGGAGGCTGGTATACGGCACTTTTGTAAGTGATAAAGAGGATAATCTCTAACTTACGTCCCACCATGTCAGAGATTCTGTAGGTTAATTAAGTCAGAGAGAATCGATCGCTATCTCAAAAATCTCCCAAGTAGCCCACTATCAACTATTGACTATCTCGAGGAATTCGATGGGCCGATGGCCCTTAATCAGGTAATTGCTCTCATACAACAGGCCAATGCCAGCTTCGAGGACAATATATCATCTCTAATAATAGACAGAAAAGGGTGCGATGAATGAGCACGGGCTTGTTTTGGAATTTAGTTGATGTGATTTGGGGGGGGGGGGGCATATCGTGAGATATGGCAACACTGTATCTCTTGGGTATAACGTGAAAAGAGACGGCCGACACTCGTACATCGTTCCTCAACACATAGAATGGCCAGTAGGGCGTGTCCAAGTTGCTCTCACAGCCTCACTACGACCCCTGACGCCATTTCTTACACGTCAATAATGTTTGTACCATGGTAGAGTTGAGTCAGACCTGATGGCAAAACTCGTATCATCATGACAAGATCCCCGCCATTGGGCTTGCTTGCAATTCCAATGTGCCTCACGACCAAGCCAATGGTCTGGCCGCTCAATTCGATACACTGGTCACGACATCGGAGCAAACAAAAGTTACTCGCCGTGGCTAATCTGGGATGCCGACGGCAGAGGACATATTGACCATCCTTCAGAATGTCATCAACATGGATGTGAGACGGTCTACTTACCCTGCATCCTCAAAAGTCGTTTCACTTGTAAGTAGTTGGAAGACAGACAGACAGACAGACAGATGCTCGTCTGACGGGGGGGAAGAGTTCCCCGTTCCGTGTACTAGGCATAACTTTGCGCCTTAAGAGGATGCAACCATCCTCATCCTTAACCAACAAGGACGATGCGGGTGTCATCCGGGAACATCCACTACTGAGTCGAGGGATCCGGGGCGTACAATGGCCCATGGGTAGCACCATGTGGCTATCGGGCTGACATTTGTGCTCATGACGATGAAGAGACATACATGGTTTTGCCATGGTCGATGTCGATGGTGTTGAGCCCTGTCGTCGCCAGTGATTTACCTTGGGATTATGCAATGTGTTCCGACGGGTACTTTACCCCAGGCATCCACTGCACAGACTGGCGGTACCCGAATCATCCATCCATGTCAACTATCTCACCGGCCGGAAATCCCACTTTTGACTGGACTTGGACTGACTTACGGGCCGACCCGTTGGTATACCCGGTAATGACAGTTTCCCAGTTGGAGCTTGTAGGTATTGCACTCACTCTTCACACCGACACATCACCGTCTCGTCTTGCTTGTTAGCCTGCCACGCCACAATCAAAGGATTGAGCTTCCTGTAGCTGTCTAGTACAATTTTCCGGAAGCTTCGCTCCACCGCGCAGCACGGCTCCGTTCCCAGCCATCACATGAGCCCTTGCTGCCGCAAGATGGGATAACTTGGGGAAGTCAACCGATTATTCTTGGTTAGGGGGGGAGACAGTTGCTTGTTTGTTCGGTAGCTCGCCAACCCCGGTAGCCACCCCGACATTGCGGTCATAGTTATAGGCGGTGAACGGCACCCAAGAAGCAACAAAAAGGCCCTCATAGCGAACCCTATCGCATCGACCCATCACAGTTGCAGCTGAGAGCAGGGAGAGCTCTTAGGCTCTTGGACTCTCGTTTTCCCACGTCAGACGGGCCCCAACTTACAGCTGTTCAAGGGTTTATTCCCTCAGCGATTTTGAGATAAGAACTTCATGTGAAACCTGCTGGCTATCTGGAGGTTTCCAAGGACTTGCATATAATCTGCGAAGTCATGGGTATGTTTAACATACGCTTGATGCGAATCATTGAATCGTGAAAGCAGCATGCGAGCAGGATCGCAAACGTTGTCCATCTCCATCTCCATCATATTGCATAATTTGGCTAAGTGAAACGAAGTTCTGTTGTTTTCAGTGCATGAAACAAATGCTTCTGATAGGCCAGACTGTCACATCTGAAACGAAGACACTTATCGCAAGGAAAGTAAACCAACCGTCCTGCATAGTCAGAGTTGAGATTCCGAGCTGCATATTTCGGTCTCTGTTCAAGTGGTTGCAGGACGTCAACAAGAGACCTCCTTGCTTGCCAAGGCGAGGAAAGAGAGAAACAGCCCACTTGACAAGCCCAAGTAGCATGCCGGTTTTCATATTTTTCTCATAGTATTACCCTTACCTCCCACAAATCTCAGTTATTCAGACACCGTTCACAACTTGTCTTGGACCACTTCTATGCAGTACGTATAACCGGCTTCATTCGACCATGAAAGCCCCGACAAGTCCCGCAATGCCATCAGTATTACTTCCTGTTGCAAGGGTTTGAGTATGATTTCGGCTCGCGGTGAAGCTGGTTGGACCCATTGGAGCGGAAACCTGCAAGCTTGTTTGTATCACAATGCAACCGTTATCGAAACTCGGGATGAACCCCATTTGCTGGAATAAACTTCCCGTTAGTCGACAGACTTGTCGGTGAGCCATGTCTTGAAGTATCTTTTTACCTGAGGTGATAGCATGAGGCATGTATACACAAGGATGCATGTCGTCGAGCCGAAGTGCCTAAACTCGCTGACAGGGTGGTGGTGATTAGCTGGGCTAAGTCCCCCTCGCGATTGAGGCTGAAGTATCGGATTGGAGATCTTGTCCTTTAATGTGGGGGATGATGATCATCGAGGCTGGAGGCGAAGAATGAGCCGGAGCCAAAGAGTAGTGGGCCATCTCCAGGATCTCCTCGTGGTTGACCGGTCAAGTGAAGTACCGCGCAAAGCCAACGTCCCACACCACGCATCCACCCATCATATTGCTTTGCAGCCACGCACATGCTTCCCCAGAAAACTAGAACAGGCAGCTGAAGCGTATTCAGCTGCATATTATACGTGCAGTGACGTTGGGGAGCCACGAGGACTTAGTCAGAAGCGTTGCAAGCCATGAGAGACACCACTTGATCCAACAGCGAGTGACACCGATTGTGCTATTCATGCATTTCATTGACATGAGATAACCATAGAGCGCGGGGGGTTGTATCCTAGCAGACTGAGGAAGAATGAATGACTCGCCAAAAGCACCCAAGACGCAACATCGAAGGGCGGCCATTTTCAGTCGTATGTATCGTCCCGTAGCTCCTTGTGGGCCTATGAAACACAAACCGATGGCGAGCCGCATATGGGCGGATGTATTGCTTGGCGAGGCCGAGACCCAATAGAACGGAGTTTGCATGAAGGATGTCTCTGGAACTAATCTCATTGAACAGAGTATTGAGGCCTGTACCCATGTGAAATTTATGAGTACCAGAGCAGGGAAGTCAAGTCCGATACCACGGGCTATGAAGACGAATCGACAAAATGATCAAAGGACTACCGGCAAGACCATAACCTATCCCAGGATGTTGAGCAGCGCTGTGCAACGAAACAGTCCCGAGATGGGCTTGCCAGGACTCAATTGAAAACGCAATGCCTGCCCAATACTGCCTGGCACTTTTTAAGGACAGATCATTTCCCCTGCCGAGGTGGAAATGCATAGAGCTGCCGGCGGTTTTGAGTTTCGAAAAAGCAATAAGGCAGTATAAGCTAGGAGAGAGTGTCTATGGACAAGACATTGGCAGGGGTCTTCGGGGGCAGGGTTATCTGTGCGAAGGCCTGTAGTTAACATAACCTGACATGATGACTGCGAGGTGAGTAAGGTAGGTCAGCGACCAATGCG